GAGACAGAGAGAAAGAGAGAGAGACAGAGAGAGAGAAAGAGAGAGAGAAAGAGAGAGAGAACGCGAGAGAGAGAGAGAGAGAGAGAGAGAGAGAGAGAGAGAGAGAGAGAGAGAGAGAGAGAGAGAGAGAGAGAGACTTTACTGCTAAACCAAACAAATGCCAAAATCGCAGTAAAATAAAACAGACTTTATTGTCTGCGAAAGAAATTCGGGAGAAAGTTTGGGCTGAAAAAGTACCCAGGAACAACATGGGAAGCGAACGTAGATTGAGATCATTTCTTTGTGGCTAATGTATCTAACGTGAGGCAGCTGTATGTCAAAGAAAGTGTTGGATAGGAATCCTCAGGGTAAAAGATCAAGGGGACGACCGCGTAGAATCTGGAGAAGAATCACAGAAATTGATGTACAGAAAAGTGGGAAGACATGGAATAACATCAAGATGCTAGCCAACGATAGAGAAAGGTGGAAAGTGTTTGTTCGTGGCCTATATCCTGGTGCAGGGTGAGAAAGTCTTTGTCCGTGGCCTATACCCTGGTGCAGGGTGAGAAAGTGTTTGTCCGTGACCTATACCCTGATGCAGGGTGAGAAAGGCAATGATGATGATGAATGTATGTAACCCAGAAGTTGTTGTAGTAGTAGTAGTATAAGGTTTTACGGCGCTCGCAACTGCTAAGGTCATATGAGCGCGCGAAACACAAGTTGTTCACCTCTGCGAAAGTTCACTTCACGACTGGTAACTAATTTACTTTAAAATGCTAAAAAGTTAAAATATTCAAATTCGGTGTAAACACATTTGTGATCTAAAACAACTTTTAAGTAACATTAAAAATTTTAAATAATATCAGATTCACTTTACAACTCGCCATAAAGGCCAATGGCCTTTATAAAATTTAAAATTCTGCTGGGAGCAACGACGGAGAAAATATCCTGCAATTTCTTGCATTTATAATATTTCCTTCGGATCTCTCCAAAGTCTAGACATTCTGTTAAAATGTGTCTAATGGTAAAATCTGTGTCGCATCCGACACAGAACGGCTTCTCCTCTCCCTGTAGGAGGTATTTGTGGGTCAGGGCCGTGTGTCCGATGCGCAATCGAGTAAAAATGACTTCGTCTCTTCTGGAGAGATCCGAAGGATTTCGCTGTTCTAGTCTGGGTTTAATTTCATATAATTTATTATTTTTCTGGTTTTCCCAGTGGCTCTCCCACAGACTGGAGGTGTACTTTTTGACTTTATTTCTAAAGTCAGTCTGTGGGAGAGTGTTTGTCGTTGATCCCAGCAGAAGGGATGAAGCTTTCTACGCCAGGTCGTCTACCTGCTCGTTTCCTCGGATGTCCACATGGCTGGGTATCCATGCGAACATGATGTTTTTTCCTGTTTCAGATAGTGTATGGATTTTCTGTTGTAGCCTAACTATTTTTGGGTGTAGGAGTGTGTAGTTTGTGAGTGAAGTGAAGTTGTTGACTCGTGCCCTTTTTCCCACTGCCGTGAAGACAAACCAAAGCAATACCACAAACTGAGCACAGGCTAACTTACAGGGCAGTTCATCCACCGGTTTTTCCCCGTGGGGAAGTCTAGCGCTGAGCTTCTGTAGGTCCTGAAGAGAGAAACAGTTCATGACAGAGAGAGCTGTAAAGGTGGGTGTCATCTCGTGTTGGAATAAGGCGCTTGTCAATTTTTTGACATTCATGTATGTCGATTATTGGTATAATACTAAAGCCTATTCATTTGTACTTTTTTAATGACAAAAATACCCATCTACCTTAAATAAAAGTTGAGATAGTTGTGACCAAAGTAGGTGGGGTCCCCCTGGTGTCAGAGGTATCATTAGCAAGAAAAAGGCGGCCAAAGTACAGTGATTTCTAAAACTGTATTTTCCTATTAAACCAATTGTCCCATGTACACGACAGAAAGCTGGACAAAAGATATGGCGAGCAGACACAAGAGAGACTACCCATACAGGAAAATGATAAATCCATGTTTGGTAGAATAACAATAACAGACTATCTCCCCCCCCCCCCCCCCCAAATTCCATCCCATACACACAATTAGTAGATGTGCCGACTTCTAAGCATCTCATGTAAAATGGTCAAAAATGATTTTTTTTTAAATCCCTCAAACCTGAAACTCAGCCCGGAACAGCAAGTCTGAATCTCTGTGAAGCTGTAATAGAGTTCTTCTGAACGTTCGAATCAGGATAGGTCTGGCAAATAAATATCATATCAACATTGTCAACGCAAAAAAAAAAAAATTTGCTGTGAGATAAATAATCGGTACAAAAATAGTGTTTGAAATACATTATAAAATAAATTGCATTGTTCCCACAGCAGACAAACATGTCAACGCAAAAACATACTTTAAAAGCCTTTTTTAATTTGCTCGTTAAAACGAATAGCCAATATAGACTTATGTTTTGATGCTTTGGAAATTGAAACACACACACACACGCACACACAGACACACACACATACACACACACACGCACACACACACACACACACAAACACACACACACACACACACACACACACACACACAGTGTAGGCCTTTTTGCCTAGACCTACTTAACCATAAAGGTCTAAAGTGTCTCTCTTGAAAGCAATATAAAAAAGATGACAGACTTCCCCTGGTCCAGACATGAACGTAATAATACAGACCCAACAAAACAATGTATCAAAATTTGACTTCAGTTTCTGACACCAAAACTTTTCCTTGTGACATTCATTTTCTGAATAACTACAGACAAATGTGGAGCTCGGAGTAATAAACTGTGTTGATTGTTTTCGTAGAGAATATATCAAATTTAATGAAGTGGACAAGTTAATGAAAATGAACACTAATTTAATGAAAATGAACTTTAATTTATGTCCTTTATTCTGACAAGACAAATACATAAAATGAGGTTACCCTTGTCTGACCTTTCGCCAGTCAGCACTATCCAAATCCAGAACACTTGAGAAACATCAAACTCTAAAATAGTCTATTTATTACTAAAGGGGTATAACATTTACATTTTACATCATGGTTTTGTTTCCCTGTGTCTAACCCCTTTACGATTATTTACTGACTTAAAATTGTGGGAAATTGCAGTTTCCAAAATAACAAAGACAAAATATCCAGAAAACCAACTCCTCTTCTTCTATAGTTCTGAAGTGAATGTTTTTCTTACCTTCGTGTTTTGATCGTTTCTGTCTCCTCAAGGGTGTCAGGCAGCACAGGTCTTGTTTCCCTTTTGAGAAGAAAATGAAAGAACTCACAGAGAAGTCAAACAATGGCAATAAAAAACTGGGAACATCTTTTCTGGATAATATTGCACCATTGTTTTGTACAGATCAATAGAAAGCTATTCAGAAGGGAGAAGAACTAGTCAGCTTAATAGACCGTCTTGAAAAGACCTCCACGACCTGCAGCTTGGAAATCAGCGCAAAGAAGACCAAACTGATGTCTTACAGCTACAAAGATCAGAATGATGCATTCCCTGATCATGTCAGTATTTTTTTATGCATGTGAATTCTGGACCTTGAATGCAGACCTAGAAAGAAGGATCAAAGCAAGCTGTGGAAATGAGAAGCTTCCGAAAAATCCTTGGCAGCTCATACAAAATTCACATCACAAATGAAGAATTCAACCACGGATCAAAATGAAATCGGACCATATGCTGACCTCACTCTGGTAAGAAAACACAAACTGCAATGGTAAGAACACATCACCCATTCTTCCGGCCCTGCCAAGATGATCCTGCAAAAAGCAGCGTCCAGGGGCAAAGGAGCAGAGGCAGACTGAAGAAGAGTTGGGAGGACAACATCAAGGGATGGACAGGCGGGGAACTCAAAGACACTCTCAGAAAAGCTGAAGACCGGAAGGAGATGAGGAAGCTGGTGGCCAAATCTTCAAAAGCACCCCAAGGGACATCTTGTGTACGGGATAAGTGAAGTTGAAGGTGAACGATGAACAACAAATCAATACCAAACTTACTAAATTTTTCAGATATTCATCCTAATGCACACTGTTGATAACGTTTACTTTTACCGTCACTTAAATTCTTTATCTGGTACAGAAGTCTATCTCTATCAGACTTTCTTAGCTCTTACAGTCTAAGATACAGCTTTGAAGCTACATCATCGAAAGAGTAGTTGAGACAGTAGAGAGAAATAGACGGTATGTAAATGTTCTCCAAAAGGGATGTAAGGTCATGTGATGACCTGATTCCCTACCTAGCTATCCCAGCAGACGAAAGCATGTATCGGTCATATCATTGTCAGCAATCGGATTCGTTTTTTAACTAAAGAGGGAAGTATCACTTTATTATTTTCATAAGGGTTATAGACTTTGGTAACACAAAGTTCGTCGACTCAACTTTCTTTGACAAGAATGGCTTTTGCTAGACTTGTCGGATTTTTTTTCTTCAGAATACGGACCTTTCCCAGGCACAGAATTGGCTGTCCACAAAGAAGGTTACGACTCGACAGATGTCCTGGTGCCAAAGGGTAAAATTATTCTTTAAACCGTGGACTGGTTTTTTAAACAATAACTTGAAAGCCCTTGTTTTACCCCCCCCCCCCCGCCTCACATACACACACATACACAACACACACACATTCACACACACACACACACACACACACACACACACACACACACACAATGACACTTTATAGGTTGAATAACCCTTTCAAATGGCGAATAGAGAGGTGGCAAAGCAAAGGGACTTTGCAGCGCAATGACAACCTCTGCATTTCTCAAGGTTTAGAAGCGTCTCTCAGAATCTGGAAAAAATCCCCCATCAACATGAGCCCTACTGGGGTAAGCAATAAATAAATGTCATTATCAACCATGAATAAAATGCCGAGGCCAAAAAAAAATCATCCTGTTCAAAAAGACACCTCACCATCAGCCTTCAAAAGGACTAACATACAGATTAACTGGTCATCTCACACCATTATTTCAGAAAATTATTCCAGTACAGGTGAACTCACTTGTGACCCCTCTGCTTTCTGCGGCGGTGCACAAAGAAAACGGCTCCCAAAATGAGCGCAATGACCAGCATTGAGCACACGACGGCAACAACAATGATAACGATATTGTCGTCATCCTCTTCCACTGGGGAGAAGATAAAAGAGGCAGCAGTCAGTGATACAACCCATACTACAGTACAGCCGGAGTTAAACAAAATGTCTCCTATAAAATCATATCTCCTAAATAAGATAAGATAAGATAAGATAAGATAAGATACATCTTTATTGTCCAGATCCTGGCACATTGGTTTGGTGTTCCACCACGTGTACACACACACACACACACACACACACACACACACACACACACACACACACACAAACACACACACGCACACACGTGCTCACACATGCACACACAAGTAGGCTTACAACCCATACTACAGTACAGCCACAGTTAAACAAAATGTCTCCTTTAAAATCATATCTCATAAATAGAATCTATAATAGAGTAGAACCATAGTTAAACAAAACATACCCGTCAAAAATGGCCATGTTTACATATCATAAATACAACCCATACAGTTGAGCTGCAGTTAAACAAAACATATCCATTTAAATGGCTTTGTTCATGCCCCACAAACGTGTACCAGAATTTGATTTTTTTAAATGTATCCGCTCCCCCCAACCCCCCCCCCCCCCCCTTCCCATCAGTGATCATGATTATATCTGAAAAAAATATTTGCAACTGTTATTATTATTATCATCATTATCATTATCATTATTACTATTATTATTATTATTATTATTATTGTTATTATTGTTATTATCATCATCATTATTATTAATATTATTATTATTATTATCATTATCATTCTCATTATTATTATTGGTGTTGTTGTTATTATTAAAAACAATGGACATTATCTGGAAAGAATGCACTGTCCACAAAATATTCAACAACAAACTCATTTCCAGGAATCCAGCAGCCTATATGTCGCAGGTTCAGACAACCGGCATGTTCACAAACAGCGACCAGTTCTAAGTTGTTGTAGTTGTCTTCAACTCTTCACCAACAGCGACCAGTTCTAAGTTGTCGTTGTCTTCAACCCTTCACAAACAGTGACCAGTTCTAAGTTGTTGTCGTTGTCTTCAACCCTTCATTGCGGGGGCCTTGGTGTATACGTTTGCACACAAAACAGCAAACGCTCATTCAAGAGAGATTTACTTCATTGTTTCATTGTTTCAGGAATCAACATCCGTGCATTCCGGACATGTCCATTGATGTTCTGCTGCTCTCTCCAAAATGCCACTGAGGGGTCTTTCTACTGATTGTGACAGCACATATCTGGTTGAATGTTCTTCTTTTCTTTCCTGCAACGGTGCCAGATTTTACGCTTCCTTTTTTGTATTCCCAAAAGCATCATCCTCTCCACGGCAGTACTGGCCTCTGCCTCCCTATCTTCCTCCTCAATCAGGTGGCGAGAGAGACATTTCAAGATCTCGACCTTGTCTAGTTGAGCCATGCGAGAGATTTACACAACGCCATAACATCGTATCCCTTATTCAACAAGTGGGTGGTCGGGGGGCGTCACTGAAGGGTCCTACTTCTTTACTTTCCCTCTGTTGTTTCTGTCTGTCAGTCTGTCAGTCTGTCGTACATTTTCCCAGCACTAAATGACCATTATCGTGTTCTTTGATTTCCCTCTTTTGTTTCTGTCTGTCTGTCCGTCTGTCTTACTTTTTCACAGCATTAAATAACCATTATTGAGTTCTTCACTTTCTCTCCTGTTTCTGTGTGTCGGCCCGTCTACCTTTTCCCAAGCACTAAATAACCATTATCGAGTCGATGTGCTTCTCTCTACCAAAAGAAACAAAAACCTTATTCAAGAATAAACAGCAGCACACGCTGTTATATCTTCTAAAACTTCCTGTAGAAGCCAGTACAAAGATGGCAGAGAACCAGCTAGGCAGAACACAAGCCAGCACATAACACGTCACCATTGCAGTGAACAGGTCAAAGATCTCCTGCGGGCTCTCGTGGCCTAGAGGTTAAGGTGTTCGCCTCTCATTGAAAGGTCCCGGGTTCGAATCTGGGTAGTGACGGAAAAATTTTCTTCTCTAAAATTGTATCCTTTCACTCCCTTTCCTGCTCTCTAGCAATGTTCTGTCGTCTGCTTTCTTCTCCACTTTCTGCCCCCACCCCCTCACCTCCTTTGACCCGTCCTGTGGGCTCCTGGCTCTTTCTGAAGCCTTTCTACTGCTACTACTTGGCTCCTTCTTACTGCTGTCATCGAGCCACACCCCTGATCTTCTGGTAGGAAAGATCTAGCACCTAGCCTTCTCAGACAAGGGCGAAAAATCTCGGAGGTCTCGAGTGCAAGTTGCGTACTTTAAAGATCCCTTGGTGGTCTAACATCAATAAGAGTAGGCTTTGGTCGCCACCAGGGCAAAATAAAAAATTTCCTACCAAGTGAAAATGTTTGGTGTGTCCGGCGATTTGTATGACCTTATGCAGTTGCGTGCTCCGTAAAACACTTACCCCC